CTCAGAGCTTTAATTCACAAAGATCAGGGCACTGCCACTACGCCCGACAGCGACACCCTTAGACATAAGTTCACAAGTCCCATGTGTCTGCAATTTTACTAGCATCGTTATTCTTCGAAACCGGAACGCAGTAATGTTCACAAGACTGCTTGGCGGCAGAAATAAATAAGGTGGCAGTAATTGTCTGGACGAACTCTTTCACAAGGAGCTCTACAGCTACTAAATATATAGTTAATAACTATTGTACTGTCATAGATTGATCGCGCGTCTACAGTCTCACTTTATAGCAAATGCATGGTTACAAATGTGCACTAAAGCTTTTAAAGCAACCTCTAATGCAACCCTATACGCCGTTATAGGGGGACATCAATTGTAACGTCCATTACGGCCGATATTGCACCAATATTGTGCGGTTGTCGACTATAGAGCATGCTGTTTAACGAGTAAAGATGAAGAATTAAAGACCGTACTTATATCTAAATTCCGATGTATATAACTAGTGTTATAAACATTACTTTTTTAGCTTTAAAGAATTTAAGTTATTGACAAACTCCGTAAAAATAACCGTAAACGCCGTATCATCTTGCACCCTTAGAATAATAACGCATAGAAACCTAATCCGCACACGCTAAGTGAGGCAAATTGAAGCGCGTCAAAAGGGCCTACACGAGCGGGCGGACCTTCAGTGCTCAAGGTCAACTTGCACCGCGAAAAGATCAAGAATTTTAGCTAAAAATGACGAAATGTGCGGTAAATGAGTGTAAAAATACGTCAGACAAACATAAAATAGATACTAACTGCTATAGACTGAAGGAAATTTTAGGTCTTTTATCAGGTGCCACTTTATTAAGTCATTTTGTACGCTAAGCAATTTAATACAATCCGTAGAATATATTGCTCGAACACATTCAATACCTTTACCTGTTTACCTGTACTACCTCAGCTTGATTTAAAATTCTTCCCGTACTAATAGAATCGAGCGACAGGGACACTTGCTATATTTCAGAAGTAATTTCTTTGCAAACGAATTTTAAGCCATTTAAATAATATCTATCGTTTACTTACGTGTTCTGTTTAGTTCAGTTGATATAAAAAAATACTGGTACATATAAAGTACGTATTGAATGTAGCGGTTTTTTTGGAAAATTTCAAGGTGAGTTTGTTTTTTTTTCTATCATGAAAATTTTTAGGCGTCGTGTTTTCACACCGTATACTAATCAGTGTCCTTAAGTTCACTATACATATGTATATTATTTCCAATGTGATTCAACACTTTCACTGTTATGCGAAATCAACTAAAGCCATTTGAGGTTTACATAATTTCAATAAGAAAGAAGATATCCATAATATTAACCTAAGTCCAAACTCGTGGTACCACGATTTCGTTTAACCAAGGTAAACGACTCTTTTATGGGGAACTGTATACGTTTTTACAATAATATTCCGGAGCATATATTAAGTTTATAATTTCCTAAGTTTAAAAATATTTTGATCGAAAAAACATATTACAAAATTGAAGACCACGTGTTAGATAAAGATGTATGGAAAGACAACATGGCTCCAGAATCCACACAAATTTGTTTCGAAGTGTATTCCATAGCGTTTAAGTTTATTTGAAAAGAGCAATCCCTAGAGTTTCTTGCTCGTTCTTCTCAGGGAGGTCAGCGTAGTGAACGAGCAGTAGCTTAAATGTGACGTTTTCAAGTGTAAATTTATTTTACCTATGGAATAAATAATCTTTGACTTTGACTTTGACTAAATATTAAATTAAAATATTCTGTCTTTAATTTAAAGACTTGCTCTTTAAAAAACAGAGCTTCCAATGGATTTTTTTAATAAAATATAGGTGTAATTTTGTTGTCTGAAGTTCTTCAATAGTTTACGATTACTACTTACTTCTTTGTTTGCAGATTTTTTACGTAAAACACGGATAAATTTTACTTATAAGTAACGCTTGAATTTCTATTAAAAATTCCATGTCTATTCTAGAAGCCAGAAATAAATGTTGAGTTAACAAGAATTGAGTTTCGTTCAAATAAACTAGGAATGAGCAAGAAAAGTTTTATTATTCCAACTGGAAACATGTTGGAAATGTGTTTTTCGTCGCTTTACTGGGCACGGACTACCTCCGTCCGCAATGTAGCCCAAGGGATTTTTTATTAAATAAATTTTGGACATTAGGTTCTTAGGTTTTCTCGATTGGTATACACACATTAATTCAATATTCATCAAAACCTATGTCTGGAGTACCGCACTGATGCGCGACATGAACAATAACAAACAAAGACAGAGAGAGATCGAGTCATTTGAAATGTGGTGCTAGAGGCGAATGGAAAAAATAAAATGGATTGAAGAGAGATCAAATGAGGAAGTTTTTGAAAGGGTTGGGGAGGAGAGAAATTTTTTGAATGCAACAGAGAGGAGAAGGGGCAACATATTTGGACATTTGTTCCTTAGTGACGAATTTGTGAGAGCGAAGAATGGCGTATGGTGGTCAAATAAAAAAGAAGGTCAAAGTGAACAGCTATAGAGAGGTCAAAGAACTGGCTATGAACTAGGAGTGGAGAAGGTTACACCGACAAGAGTCTGTTTTTTCAAACAAGCCTACAGTTGCAGTCAGATAGTTGCCACTCAGATCTTTAAATCGCAAAGATCTTATTTATTTAGCGTCCGTCAGCCTGAGGCGTAAGTTGACAAGTCCCATGTTCCTATAATTTTACCAGCACCCTTACCCCTCCAAATCGGAATGCAGTAATGCTCACATTACTGCTTGGCGGCAGAAGTAGGTACTTCCCAAGCGTTACGTTTCCACATTGATATGGCGAACGGCTATGGAGTGAAATTCCCTGACTGGAGGCTCATTCTATGAACGTTATAACTTGGACCTTTTCAAGGTGAGAATGATCAAACAATCAATCAATTTGTTTATTTGTCAGAATAAGGACATTATGATCAGATCTTATTTTAAATAAATCCAACTTATTCTATCATAATCGGCGTGCAAACATACATATATGTCATTCAACTATTTACTAAGATGACTACTATCGACCAATGAAAACTCGACTATTTATTATTTTACGATTAATGAAATTGTCAAATATTGCAAATAAAGAAAATTTACAAAAGATATAAAAATGAATTTATGAATAATATATGTCAATAATTATTGTCAAAGAATTCTGTCAAGGAGTAAAAAGGACTATTTATTACAAAAGCTAACAATTGTCTTTCATATTCATTAAAATTATTAATCAATCGAATCTCCTTTGGCGAATGATTATAAATTTTTGGCGCCATGTAATATAGTGTATAGGAATTATTTAGCTGTGCATGGTCCGTCGTCGACCTCATGGTCACTTACCATCAGGTGAGATGGAGGTCAAGATAAATGCGCACTTACATTTTGATAAAAAAAACAAGGTGTACTACTGCTTCTAAAATCTGTATCACTTCACATACTATGTACGTTTTGATGTAAGCCTTAGGGGGTTAAAAAAATTCGGAAAATAATAGTTTCATTGTCAATAAATATTGGATATTATTGGAACATGCTATATAGCGATACGGTACGGATATTGAAGTCAGGTTTACAGCCTGGGTGCAGCTCTGCTCCGGTGTATGTAATTGACACTGCACTTTAAAGACCAAAGTGATGCCACTATATGGCATCACTTTTGTCGTATCTATATACGTAGGTACGAGCATTTCCTTACAGCATTTTTCTGTCGGGTTATTCTTGTTAACCGACTTCAAAAAAGGAGGAGGTTCTCAATTCGACTGTACGTTCTTTTTTTTTTCTTTTCTTTTTTTTGTATTTATGTTACGCGATAACTCCGGTATTTGTGAACCAATTTTCATAATTCTTTTTTTGTTGGAAAGGGGGTACTTCCATAGTGGTCCCATTTCATTTTGAAGAAAATTATCCACCTAGAAGGGTGGCTGTTCACGCATGAAGATTCACTTTTATAAAAAGCGCCTAACTTTAATTTAGGAGCAATTACCTTTATGGTTGATTTTGCTATTTCTTCCATTCACTGCGTTTTTCTCTCAATATACTTTGAGTAGTGTCGTAGTGAGAATCTATTTTTATTATCTCCAGTGTCAAGTCCTGTATAGTGGCGAACTAGGGGATATTTCAATAAAGCTTAGCAAATAGACGTAACTCCACGTACTTTTGAAGTCGGTTTTTTTAGTACTCTGTACTGAGATTATTTAGAGGCCATGAGAACCATAGTGGCCTAACTACTCATTTTTTTACAATATTGAGTTTATGATTTTTTCCAGTTCAAATTGATCATTTTGATAGAACCAGAAAGGCCTAAAAGTGATACAACGAATTTTCACTAGATGGCAGCATAATCATTGTTATGGTTTTTAGTCTGTGATCTAAATTTGAGGTGCCATACTGGCCTAAGTAAGATAGGCCACTATGGTTCTCATGTCATAAAAAATTTATATGACGTGATTACGTATTATGAAGATATCTGTACGTTTGCATGTGCAGGAGCGTAACTAGTTTCAAGAAATCAGATTTCATTCTCAAATGGTTTTGCAAATTTATAATGATCATTTATTACATGCGTAAAACATATTTGATGCCAATATCTGGAAAGTTTTTTTTTATAATACCAAGTGACGGGGCGAACAAGTCGTGTGCCTCAGCTACACGCCTGTCCAAAACAATTGCAGTGTCCTCAGAGCTTTAAATCGCAAAGATCTGAGAGGCACTGCCACTGCGCCCGTTAGCCTGAGACATAAGTTGACATATCCCTAGTGCCTGTAACTTCATCAGCACCCTTACCCTTTAAAACCTGAACACAGTAAAGCTGACATCACTGCTTGGCGGCAGAAATAGGTAAGGTGGCAGCATTTCCCTGGACGAACTCTTTCACAAGGAGCTCTACTCCCACTAAAAAGTTACCAAAGTGCAAATGTATTGGTTATGGCAAGGAGTCAGACGATGTGTAAATTTGTATGAATATATTTTTCTATGTTACCAGGAGGTTAAAGACGTATTCTGTGAAAAATTGTTTATTTATAATATAAGATACTGTAGCATGTCATAGTTATTTTGCTGGTTCTAGAAGTATGTCATAGTTTGGGGGTTTTCCCGCTTTATTATCGTCCAACATCTGAAAAAAGATATTCTTGGGCACCAGGTATTGGGTAACAACTGGATCTTGTAGCATGTCGTCAGCATACTTGGCCTGTAATTACATATAAAATTATAGATCTTATAAAATATGCTTTTCACTATGAAGTTTTTAGTGTTCAGACTTAATTTAGGCACGACAACTTCATCATATAGTGAAGTTAGGGACTAGAGATGATTGTAATCATAAAATCTTTGGCAGCGGCGTTTGGTGGTTTTTCGGCCGACGGGATTTTGATCGGCGTGAAATCAGCGTACACAAGTATTACACAATAATTATTATCACACAATTGTTTTAAAAAAACACTAAAATATTGTTTAAATCGATCTTTGCATTAATTTTCAACTTTAACTTGTATTTTAGTACCTACATAGGTAATGTTACTAAAGTAATTTCTTGTAAAAAAACAATCACTTTAAATATTTTATCTGAGTGTTCGATCTTTGTATTAATAATTATGACAAACTAGTGGAGTAATTTCAAAAAAAAAGAATTGAATATCACTTCAATCAAAATTTAAAATACAGTGAATAGCGGCATCTCTCGCCAGGCCCGATAGCTGTAAAGGTATCTAACTGGGTGATAAAACTTTCATAGATTTCTCATAGATGGCGCTACGACTAAAAAGTCGTTGAAAAACTAAATACAAAGACACGACAACAAGCACATAGAAAAATTCGTGAGGTCCGCTGGTTCGTCCCGTGGCTTAGTTCGTATAGCGTCTGGCACGGTATGCTAGAAGACATCGGTTTGAATCTGGCCGGATCGAAGGAATTTTTTCTGAGTGTTCGATCTTTGTATTAATAATTATAACAAACTAGTGGAGTAATTTCACAATAAATAATTGAATATCAATTCAATAAAAATTTAAAATCACTTTAAATCTACTTTGAATATAATGTATACATATAAAAAAGTTCCAGATTTAATTTAAATTTTACAGAAATATTGTATTGAAATATAATAAATAATAGTTAGCAGTAGAGCTCCTTGTTAAAGAGTTCGTCCAGGGAAGTACTGCCACCTTACCTATTTCTGCCGCCAAGACGTAATGTGAGCATTGCTGCGTTCCGGTAAGCATTATTACAACTTTAAACTCCACCGCTCATTCGTAAGACAGATTCCCCTGAGAAGAATGAGCAAGAAACTCTAGGGGTTGCTCCTTGTAAATAACATTTGTATGCATTCAACACTTACAATAGGTATATATTTTTTTTGCTTTTAAACATCAGAGATCGAGACTACCTGCATGAGCTAAACGGGTTACTACCACGGATTTTTGTCATCCAATTACGCAAAAGTTGTTTAATAACCTTTAGTATAAAGTTTTTGTTTCACTATAGTTTTAAATCTCGTGAATAGCAAATTTTGTATGTGAACCGGAATCTTGTTATAGAAGCAGATATATTGTATGGTACATGATATGATTAAATGAATTTGAACTTTGTGAAGACGACTATCAAGAACAGCTAGTTTATTTTTATTCCTCGTATTAATGTTATGTCTGTCACTATTTTTCATAAAGAATTTAACGTTAATGTTAGGAATACCTCTTAACATAAATTAGGTACATTTTCATAGATGTAATGTGACGCTAGTGTAAGAATATTGATTTCCTTAAACTTATCTCTCAAAGATACTCTGGGGCCCACATTGTAAATTACTCTAACCGCACGTTTCTGGAGGACAAAGATTCTATTGATATCGGCGGCATCGCCCCAGAGCAAAATGCCGTATGTCATTAGACTGTGAAAGTAGATGAAGTAAACCAATCTAGCGGTTTCGACGTCTGAAAGTTTCCGTGTTTTTTTAATCGCTTGTACTGCAGAGCTTAGCCGTTTAGCTTGAGCCGCTGGCGATCAATTTTCATAGTATCGCTATCTCTGGGACCTCAGGGTTCGATGTAAAAAAAAAATTGTCTTATATACATTGCCTCAGGTCTGGGTGTTAGTGGTACCGCCGTGGTTTCCGATTTCCATAACACAAATGCTTTAATTATTAATACGAAGATCGAACGTTTAGAAAAAAAAAACCTTCGATTCAGCTGGATTCGAACTAACGTCTTCTTGTAAACCGTGCCAGATGGTTTGCTAACTAAGCCGCGAGACGATTCAGCGGATCTTAAGAATTTTTTTATATGCTTGTTGTAGATTTTTTTTTATTTTTTTGTTGAGAAATCTGTTTCTTCACTCAGCCTGGTACCGCTACAACTATCTGCAGCTGACTAGAATCGAAGGATCAAAGGAATTTTTCGTGTGTTTCGAAAACAAAAAAAAATCTTACCAAAAGTTTGTATTTTTGCCCATCAATTGCGGCCCTGTCGTCCTTTTCCTTAAATGTCAGCATTCTTTCAAACCAGGGCCAGATCATGTAATCAACAAAGCCAGGCTTCGAGCCGTCCAAGAACCTGGTGCCACGACTTTCGAGTTGTTCGTCCACAAATTTGAGTGCCTTGTGGAACGCTACCACTTGATCCTCAGTAATGCTCTCTGGGCTGATCATTAACTTGAAGATAAAAGATTGCACCTGGAACAATGTCAATTTTATTTTAATAAAAATAAATATTTAGGCTAAGTCTCGATTTTATTATGCGCATAAAGTCAATAAAAATTGTTTGAACAAATGCCCAGAACACAATAAATGAAATACTATTATTTACAATATCGATTTCTTGGTAGCATCTTACATGGCTATTTGTACTTGGCAAACAATCACTATGTCTAGATAGCACGTGTGACGAAATATTTGCCTATTTGACAAATACAGTAAACACCGTGCTCGGGTTACTGCGCGCTGGTCGGTTTATCGATGCACATCAAAGGGGCCAAATAGGCAAATATGCAAGTAAACCGTCCACACTATGGTCAAATTAATTATTTAACACCTTGTTTGGCTCCATGTGCAGATAGTGTCTGCAAGTTTGGTTGTAGGTCAAATATTTTTCTAAGTACATCAGACAGCGAATACAAGTAGCCGTGTGAAGTGTCGCCATTAGGTTTTCGCGATTGTTACATACACGAGTATTATAGGAAATGAAACTATATTCTCGTATATTTAAATACCCGGCAAAAGGGCCTGAAACATTGGTTTGTTTGAAAACAACAAATATAACTACGCGATTTAGATCCGATCATTTCCTTTACTATTACAACTTCGAATACATCATGTCTAATAGCAGTAAACTTCCTTGTGAAAGAGTCCATCCAAAGAAATACCATACCTTCTACGGCGAAGCAGTAATGCCAGCAATTACTGAGTTCCGGTTTTGAAGGGTATGGATGCTGGTGAAATCACAGGCACATGGTGTACTTGTTAACATTGTATCTCAACGTGATGTACGCAGTGCCAATGCCCCTCAAGTCATTGCAATTTAAAGCTCTGAGTGACATTGTAACCGTCATTGGTAGGCGAGTCGCTTACTACCAGGCGTGTGACTTGTTCTTCCCGTCACTTGATATCATATAATTTACCTATACATATATTTAACATGACTCGTGTACTCACGGGCGCAATGGCTTCAATGATAATTTTGTCATACGCTTTCTTCAGTGGGTCCTTGGGGATTAATGGCCGCTGTGGATATACTTCGTCTAAGTACTCAACAATGACGAGACTCTCGTAAATGCAAACATCCTCTGCGATCTCTAACGATGGCACTTTAGCTGTATCAAGAGTTAGACTTTAAGGTTTTTCAAGGTAAAAATAAAATGAGATAGTGGCCAAGAGCTTGTCTATTATACATAAAAAGAAATGAATTTGGTAATATTAATTTGTTATCATCATTAAAAACACATATTTGTCTGTAGGTATAGGTTAGTCTGTTTTTGGATGGATACCAAGATGTTAAGCTATACCTTCTTTTACAAACCATACAGCTACGCAACAAACAGTGGGATATTCGCGGGGAAGCGGGCGTCGCGGGCAAACCCACTTAGTTTGTGGGATCGAGCGCTAAGGGTGATTTAAAATATTTTGGAATACGTTCAGTGAATTCTACAAAAGTCGATCGTTGCATGCATATATAATGGTGCACACAAACTGTTCTGTGTACAGATCCAATTTGATATCGAGATTAAATTATTTGACTTACTAAGTGCAATAGAATTGAAATCACTCATGTTTCTCCATTTTTTAAAGAATAATTTAATTGATCATCCGAAATCAAATACATTATATAGTTACATTTAGTAAAAGAAAACTGAAACATCGAATAATCTCAGTACAGAGTACTAAAAAACCGACCTCAAAAGTACGTGGAATTACGTGTATTTGCTAAGTTTCATTGAAATATCCCCTAGTTCGCCACTATACAGGACTTGATACTGGAGATAATAAAAATAGGTTCTCACTACGACACTACTCAAAGTATATCGAGAGAAAAACGCCTTGAATTGGAGAAATAGCAAAATCAACTAAATAATTGCTAAAAGTAATTGCTCCTAAATTAAAGTCAGGCGCTATTTTTAAAAATGAATCTTCATGCATGAACAGCCACCCTTTGAGGTGGTTGATTTTCTTCAAAATAAAATGGGACCACTATGGAATTACCCCCTTTCCAACAAAAAAAGAATCATGAAAATCGGTTCACAAATACCGGAGTTATCGCGTAACATACATACAAAAACAAAAAGAACATACAGTCGAATTGAGAACCTCCTCCTTTTTTGAAGTCGGTTAAAAATAAGGTGTCACGTTTGTGAATCTTTATTACTTATCTACTATTGTTAATAATTATTGAGTTATATATAATAATAATAATAATAAAATAATAATAATTGCAATTTTTACATTTTGTGATAACCCTTGCATATCTGCGTATGATAGCGTAAGTACCTACAAAGGTGATGTTATCGCCATACTATTGCCATAGTGTACCTTACCGTGACAATTTAAATTGTAATTTAGAATGTCACAATACATTAAATAATTTAGATTGATAATTGTGTCCAATCTAGATTATGTCTTAGAAGTGTAATGTAAAATGTTGTGCAAGCGTTTGCGTGTGGCGACACCGGCTCTAGTATAATTAAGAACATACCAAACTTGTCACTTTGGATCGTACTTATCGCAAACGGCATAGAGTTGAATTTAAATCTTAAGTATCAAGCTTAACGTGCCCTTGAGTCTGTAGTGATACTGTTTGATACAATTTACACGAAATAATAAATATCCGACCCAATGCCACGTTTGTTTTAAAATCGAATGTTTAGCAATTTTTCTTACCGAATCTACTTTTTGCTGTCAACCATTCAGGCTTATCTCTCAAGTTGATGTTAACCACTTCGTAGTCCAACTGCTTGGCAAGTAGTACCAAGTTAATTCTTTGTGCGTATGGACAGTGTCGCATATTATACAAGCGCAACTTTCCATTGTATGGCGGAAGAGGATCTCCTAAAATAAATGCAATTTAATTTTAAATAAATTAAATTTTCGTTTGGTCTTCGTATTGTATTTTTTTATACAATTGTATGTGTTCATTTGACCTCCATTTCAACTGATGGAAAGGTCGACGATGGAGCATGAACACCTAAATAATACCTATTCACTCTTGCCTTGAAAAGGTCCAAGTTGTAACGTTCAAGGAACAAGTCTGCAGGCAGGGGATTCCACTCCATAGCCGTTCGCCATATAAATGTGGAAGCGTAACGCTTCGTACGAATCTCAGGAATATCCATAACATAGGGGTGGAATCCAAGCCTACGTTTAGTCCCCCGATGATGGAAAGGGGAAGGCGGAATTAAATCGTAATTCCATCGCACACTCTCCGTGACATATCCTGTGAAACCGAAACCTCTTGTCACGCTTGTCTATTGAATTTAAGGCGGCCAGTTGGTATATAGCCGAGCTATCTCAAAGGTGGCAGCAGTATTCCTTACGCGCCCGGGCTAGTACTTGATAAGAAGTAACGCCTCACCTCGGAAAGGATGCCAAGCTTCCTGGCTGCATTTTTGACCATAGATTCAATGTATCTGCCAGTTTAGATTGGACGATAGGTCCATTCTAAGTAGCGACGATCGGCTATCGGTATGGATATATCACGAAATGTCGGAGTCGGCTCAAAGGGACTCTGTTTTGTGGAGAATAGACACGCCTGCGTTTTTGCGAGTTCCACTCCACTGACCCTTGCATTGGTTATGTACCTATCTACAATTGTGCTGTCATCAGCATACGCATAGGTACCTGGAAAATTGATATGCAGCAGTAAGAGTGTTACAGACAGTACGGAACCTTGAGGATCTATCAAGCATCGGCATCGGCATCTATCGCCCGATGTTTGGAAGAGTATTATATTTTAAGCTAGTTTAAAATTTTATACGGAACAGCTATCAAAGTAAAGCAGTTAAAGAAATCCGTGTATCTGTTATACATGTATGACTAACATTTAAAGCACTAATTGACAAAGTACAAAATGATGACGTCAGTGGCACAACGGTCTGCACTATAGGTGTAGGATGCGGAGGTCTCGGGTTCGATTCCCGGTAGGACCAATTTGGGAAATGAACTTTTCTAAATTGGTTCATGTCAGAAAACACCCATTTTCTAAAGTGCCCCGAAGTGAATTCCGTTGCTCACTCAATGGTACACAGAATTCCCTAGTTTGAGAGAGACTACTTGCATATAGAACTTGCAACGATATTCCAACTGGGTAAAGTTTAAATTACATTAACAGTCCACAATTTATTACACCTTTTTAAATTAGAAACTACGACCAATCATTATCAAGATTTCATACTGTTTAACATTATGATAGTGTGAGTTTTGGCCTCAGCGGTTGTGATAGTAATCGAGACTTAACCCTTCCATGGTTTTTTGCTTCCGTGTGACTGGCACTTCATTATTATAATTAAAAAATAATAAAATTGATATCCACCAGTTGAAAATCAGTCCTGCGTATGCTTATGTGCTCTACACAGTGTGTGCTGCACTTACTTTCGTTTACATACGTTTAATTTTTTTGTGTGGAGAAGAAATGATCTAAGTGATATTTGTTAACAGCATGTTGGCGTGTTCGTGTCGTAAAGCAGTTATATTAGCTAGTTAGCTCGCTAAATGCTGACCAATTCAGTTTTTATTTGTAGTTAAACGACAACAGAAAAGGCTAAATTATTCATGCTTTGTACCCTTTTTGTTGTAGCTGACTCATTACGGGGGTGGCGTGTTCGTTGGAACAAAGCCATCTTTAAAGCAATAAAAAACAAATTCTTTTACACAGGTTATATGTAGAAGAAAATGAATAAGTAAGACATATTTGGTATTGATTTAGATTGAAAAAATCGAAGACAATATAATAGATCTGAGAGGCACAATCACTAAGTCTGTCTCTGTGAGTCATCAGTACCTTAACCCATTAAATCCGGAACACAGTGATGCTCACATTACTGCTTGGCGGTAGAAATAGGTAAGGTGGCAATACCTGGACAAAGTAGCTCGACTGCTGCTATGTTTTGCTTTCAAAACCGTGCCAGACAATTCTATCATGTGACTGGAGTGACAGTTATCGGTAGTAACTATACTAGTAGGAGTATACTGTCTAGTCAACTCGTGGTAGAGGCACATTACTTCTATCATGAGCTTACCGTGACATTCGTCACTAGCGTGAAGTGACGTGAAAAGAATGACAGATCGGCATTGACTTACAAATAAATGAACGACGAGTCTAATACACAAACCACGAAAAAAATGTCCCAAGTCAACCTATTTAAACATAGTGACATGTAAAGGAATATGAAAAAGCTAAAACGTTGAATTGAAATTGTAATGTCATCGCAGTACTGTCTAATTTTGCTTGCTTCGTTGTCAGTCGAACAAACGAAGACTAAAGCGTGAATGACGTTCTGTATACGATATTAACGCCCTATAAGTTCGGACACTTTTTAACGCGGACCCGACGTCCATATAATTGTAAGTCAATGCAGATCGGAGAAAACATCACTAGAATTTAAGTTAGAAATTAATGAAACAACAATGTGCTCTAGTAGGTAGATGTATTAATTTAATTAGATTTATTATCGATTATATATTCTGGTAGATTATTTTCAAGTACCAAAAATGTAAAATGAAGCAAAGTTTTAATCATATTAGTTTTACTAACCTTTCTTGAGATGCTTTGTGTTGAAGTTTACATTTGTTTTAACTCCTTTCCCTTTGTAACTCATATTAGAATATAGAAGAAAAAATTCTGGACCTGACTAAATGGTGCGCGCACCTTAAAGTATCACAGTAGAATGTTTATCACGAAGCTAACTTAACATATTTGAACTGTTAGCTATCTAAAAAAAAGCAACTCATGCCAGCACTGTATCACGTTCCGACCGCAAAAATCACAATGAGTTGCACTTATTATGACGTATCGTTTATTTTTATCATTGCTTGTTTACATAAGTAATTCATTTATTATGGATAAAATACAATCGCGTACTAAACAGTTATCTATCTTTTTAAGGAATAAATCATTGACTTACAAATAAGACAACTTAGAATTAATGTTGCCAAAAGCGGCCTTATCGCTGAGAGCAATCTCTTCCAGAGAATCTTTGAGACAGAGGAGAACTGATAGAGAGGGAGATGTAGTGTGCCAGTGATAAAAATTGAAATGTATAATTAAAATATAAATATAAATTATTTGGATATGAGTAGCTTCGGAAAAAAAGAACGATGAATACATTGACATACAAATAAATGGACGACGGGTCTAATACAAAAACCACGAAAAAAAAATGACCCAAGTCAACCTATTTAAACGTAGTGACATGTAAAGGCAGTGAGCATATATAAACAATAACATCATTGTGTAAAGGAATATGAAAAAGCTAAAACGTTGAATTGAAATTGTAATGTCATCGCAGTACTGTCTAATTTTTTTTTCTTCGCTGTCAGTCGAACAAACGAAGACTAAAGCGTGAATGACGCTCTGTATACGATTTTAACGCCCTATAAGTTCGGACCCGACGTCTATATAATTATAAGTCAATGGAATAAATGAAATTTTCGATACCAAGTCTTAGGTTTTCGCGATTGTTACACATAGGAAATGAAACTATTTTTCCGGATTTATCGAGCATGTCATGGATAAACCTACACATTCAATGAAGTTTGACAAACCCCAGGTCCTTGCAAAAGAAGTCCGTTATCTGCCCAGGATGCTGCGAGAGGCCATTGAAATTAAAAAACATCCTAATTTCAACAGGGAAGATGGTTTCTCCGTACCACCAGTTTGGGATCCAGTATTTCCTCTAATGAAAAATCCCAAACAGACATAAGACTGCAGTACTAATTAATATGTTTTAGTTTATTCTAATTTCTATTAATAATTAATAATAAATTAAACTTAATAAAAATTCATTCAATAAAATAATTTGTAAAACTTAATGTAGCGTAAATTGGAATGTTTTCTTTGTAAAATTAAAAATAAGGTATTTAATTAATAACTATTGTAACTATAGTGAAAAAATAGGGTGGTTTGCATTAATATTAGACATAACTTATTGGAGACTGTACCACCGCAGTCAACCGTGACCATGGGACCTGTAAAGGGCCCGAAACGTCGGTTTGTTTGAAAAAACAAACATACGCGATTTAAATCCGGAAAAATAGTTTCATTTCCTAATTATAGTGCCACTCAGAGCTTTAAATTGCAAAGGTCTGAGGGGCACTACCACTGCGCCCGTCACTCTGAGACATAAGTTGATAAGCCCCATGTATCTGTAATTTCATTTATTATTTGCAAAGCAAAATAACATAACATTTTAAAAGTTAATCAAAATAAAGTGAAACGAGAAATTACTCTCTTCTAGTCATAAATTTGAATTACGAACTTGAAAATTAAAGAACTTGTTTGTTTCATTGTACAAAATTATTTATCATCCCTGGAGGTAATAAGTAATAATAATAATAAGTCTTTATTATTCTCTCATAAAGTCTTAGAATATATTACGGTAGCGACTTCACTATATTGTTACATCATCATGTCCGTGTGAGAGACTGGCGTCTGTACACGGTAAAAACAGATTACTTAGAAAAAGACAAAATTCTTTTTATGAAGACAAATTTATTAAATCCAACAAAACGATCCTCTCCCTATACACGATAGAGAGAGGATCGTTTTTGAATTAATTGATAATAGTAAAAAAACGTCTCAAAAGTGTATTTTAATTATAAGACAGAAATATTTAATCCAAGAGCAAATTAATTTACTTCAAGTCACAAACCCACTCTAGATTCAACAAAATATTTATTTGTTATTAGAAGTGTCCGATTTTGATTTGAAAAAAAAGAATGAAAAATTGAGATTAAATGCTACAGCGGCACAAAGCACTAACAAATCCAAATATATGAGATAACTTTATACTATTGAAGTTAACAAAACGATAGCGCGTTTCAGAGTACAACTAATGCCATCTAGCAATGGCGTGATGGAACAAATTGCAGGTTAAATTTGTGCTTGTTACAAGTGTAGTTTGATTTCATGCTGAAACCAAATTTCTTAAATTATGACTATAAATAACACCCTAACAAACTAGAGATACTACGTATTGTTTCTTTTGATAAATGACTGTTTATGATATTTATGATTACAAGCACAAGCAAAAGTAATCGTTAAGGCGTGCGCCTTCGGCGACATGTCACGACAACATTGACTATGAAAACGCAACGAAATGTTGCTTTAAGAATATACTCTAGAATTTAGAATATTAATCTGAATAGAAAACTGCTTCTTTTTTTGTTTAAGAATATATCTTATTAAAATACACCCAAGAAATTTTGAATTCATTTAAGATTATTTAAATTTGATGTAAGAGATAAAAATTTCTTGATGTAAGTAATGTCCAATTAATTGATTAGAAATGAAATAAAATCTTGAAGTGAACGTATTTGTCTCAAAGTTAGAATAAAGTTAAGAGTAAAATTGTATTAGAATAAGATAAGCAGTATTTTTGTAATGACAATATTTTATTACTTTTAATAAATATTTTTTCAGAGTTAGCAAATATTTTGAGAAATTGCTCTTTCTTATTAGTAGAAATCTTTTTTTCTGTGTACTGGGAGACCCGCATTACAGATCACCATACTCCGGACCAAAGGTAAGTTGGAGTTAGATACCTATAATTACACTTGGACTTAGGGTCGTATTCCAGAACTCTACTCAATACTCAAGTCAGGACTTGAGTATTGCAGTGAGCACTGAAACTCATACTCAAGTCCTTGCCATTAGGGTCGTATTTCCAGTGCTTGAAATCATACTCAAGTCTGCTCAAGTCCTGACTTGAGTATTGCAGTGAGCACTGAAAATCATACTCAAGTCCTTGCCATTAGGGTCGTATTTCCTGTGCTTGAAAGTGCTTGAAATCATACTCAAGTCTGCTCAAATCCATCTCAATCAAATTGAGTAGAGTTCTAGAATACGACCCTCAGATAACTATAATTTTATAAAGTGAACAGCCCTAGACTTAGGCGTGAGGCGAAAGTGTGTGGGCGTGAGGTGAAAGTGTGTGTGCGTGTTGGTGGTTTCACCTGTGTTTCTGTATGTGATTTAGCCATAAATAAAGAATATAGTGTTGAGTTAATTTGGCACTCTTTTTTTGGAACAATTAACAGATTTTATGATAATCATGTGTACAGTGTAATATATAAAGGATAATTTACACAGAAGTCGTGCTAAAACGTGGCAGATACCGACAAGGAATTCTTTAATTCATTAATTCAAATAATTAAATAAAAATGATAATAGCATCGCAAACTTCCAACACCAGACCATTCTTCGATGCACGTAGCTGTGGGGAAAGATTTTTCTAAAACTTGTTCTATAAAAGTTGTCTAAAACCAACAAAGGGTATTATGAATTCGTACGATAAAGCCTTCACTTTGTTCGCCTGACACAATGTCACACAAGGCATGAGAAATAACGAATGTATTGGATTTGAACGTTTTGATTCAACTACAACAAAAGGCTTTTGAGCTATACCTTAAAGATTTAGTCCGATAAAAGAGCGAATAGATTTTTCGGTTGATGCATTAATGTATGATTTTGTCTAGACTTTGTTTGTAGTTGAGAAATAAAATGGTTTTTTTTTCAAAATTGGAAAAAAAACTGGCCGTGGAAAGAAACATTGGGAAAAATCGGCCTCCGCGTACATATATCAACGAGATAGAGGATGTCTTTGAAAAAGGTTACGTCTAAATTACCACGAATAAACGTATGTGTATGAAAAGAGTGATACTTAGTGAAGATAACAAATATATTTGGAGCGTTGAGGATGGAGGTCCATAGCCTCTGCCTGCCCAAGTGGGAGAGAAGTGTATGATATGTAAGTAGAATACATTACAGTCTTTGCAATGAAAAAGATCGCGACCTTTCCAAATGTTTCTTTCCACATGTAGTTCTTTTTTCAAATATTGAAAAAACCAATACACCTATGAGCCAAGTTTTATTACAATCGGTTAAAGAAATCTGATAATCCTAATTTGCCACACTTAGAGGTACAATAATTCTTTTAAATTAAATTGGGACCATCACTGAGATACCCGCTTTCTAACAAAAAAGTAATCAGGTATCGAATTCTGTTCAGAAACGGAGGAATCGAGTAACATACATAAATAAAATACAAAGGAATTGAGAACGTTTTTTTTAAAGTTGTAAATACACGTGTTTGTAAATACACATGTTTTTTCGACTAGGTCATTTCCAAATAGCTTTCAGCGGTTATTTAATACAAATTTGATTGACATATTTATTTGAATAGTAAATTATTATTTTTCATTTCGTTAATCGTACAACACTTGTCAGACGTTAGATATTACGTTGCGATAAATTGTTACGCTGTACGTTCGGTTAGTATTTATTGATAATGACCTATTATACTTCCCACCGTTGGGCACGGATCTCGCGAGGAGACAATTAATGTAAATCCTTAGAATAATAACGCATAGCCCACACGCTAAATGAGGCAAATTTTAGGGACCCAAATGGGCTTACACGAGCGGGCGGGCCGTCAGTGCTCAAGGTCAACTTGCAACGCGAACAGCTCAAGAATTTTAGCTAATAATGTCAAAATGTGCGGTGAATGAGTGTAAAAATACGTCAGACAAACATAAAATAGGTACTAACATCACATTCGACAAGGAAGAAAAGCGATTCAACTTGTATTTTTATGTAAACATTCACTAAAACAGAAAATTAATTTCGATGTAACAAGATACGAAAATGTTGCAAGGTAACGGA